ACAAGGATTTCAGTCATTGTTGATTTGAAAATTTGCACCTGCGCTTTCAACCGTACACTGCTGGTTGCCTGGCAACCTCCCCGTGAGAGCAGGAATCCTGACAAGTACTATGCTCACCTGTTACTCAATAAGAAACACTAACAGTGAGTAACAGCCTTTAAAAAATGCCTGTGAGCAGTTCAAACAGAAAAGAACAACCCCCTCTCTTAGACCACAGCCTGTCATTAGCTGGATACTTAACGTATAGACAGAGAGTGGTATTGATCATCCTGAAAGTGACTCATCATATTTTCCATAATGTACACAGATGGCAATGATGTCAAAGTAACATCAGACCGACAACTGACTCTAATGTTGGACACTGTTCAATTTAGGTTATAATGGAAAATTGTGTCAAATATAAAACTCAGTATTGGGTTAATGCCAACATCAAACCCAGGACAGATGTTGAATTTTGGTTGAAATCGGAGATCAAAAAGAAATAAATGATTGGGATGGCATAGGGCTGGAAGATCGTTCACATTGATGTACAGCAGCAGCTTGGTTTTGGGTTTAGAATAAAAGGTTTGGCGGATATTTGATTTTGGTAACTCAACTTAAAGCCTCCAATATGCAATGTCAGACAAGGTCAATGTTCTGTGTCAAATTGAAGTACTTTCACTAAGTTTGGGTCATCTGATGTCACAAACACATTCAGGCAAATATCATCACTGAGTGCCATGGGTTACCTCCAGGGCGGACATCCTTTGCTATCCATATCCTTGTACTTTAGCTTTAAGGAAGAGAAGAGACATACAAACTACTTTTTTGTATTAAAGGTCACATATTTTACTCCTTTTCAACAAGTCTGAATAAGTCTTGGAACCCCCCAAAACATGTCTGTGAAGTGCCTTGCTTTAAATCCAGTCTGATCCTGTATTTGAGCATGCCTATAAACCCATGTCTGGAAGGGCTTGGGTGGCTCGGGCATTCTTGCACCATGCCCTATTGTTTACGGTGGAAAAGCAGACTCAGAGGGCAGAACAAGTTGGAGTGTCACCCACCTTGTTGATGGGTTACTGCCCTTTGTGATGTCAAAATGGCCTGTTAGATCACACATTTTGTTAAAAGTGGAGCAGGCAAAAGACGGAGAGGATGGACTTTGGATGGAGAGGATGGACTTTAAGTGTTAGAAAGTCATGGTAGAAAACTGTCATCAGAACCTCATCTTGTTTTCTTCAGAAACTGATCAGTAGTTCGTATTAAAGCGATCAGCCTGCAACTGATCTCCTACTGCAAAAATCTGAAGCTGTCCACATCTCTAATGAAGAAGGCTGCAAACGGGTTGAAACTGTCGCTGTATTTATCAAGAATTAAACAGGTGCATTTGGTAAATCAAACATTGGTATTAGAGGTATCCAGTTACTAGAAATAAATCAAACACTGTGAGCTCATAAAAATGGATAGCTCTCAGTTGCTAGGTTTGGAAAAAGCTGTGATGACCAAATGGAGTCATGTGAACACATACATTTCCCTCATAGGTAAGTCTTTTATGATACAGGTGGATTAAACAGGCATATTTAAAATGTGATGGGCAGAGCTAAACACACAACAGACGGCTGAATTTTACTCCAAGAAAATCCCATTTTAGCTCAACTATGTTTTCAAATAGATACAGCAGCTGAAATCCTAGTCCGCATTTTTCTCATTAGCACAACAATGTTGGCTTCTTTGCCGCTAGTTTGCTTCAGTGAGTACAAATGAGATGTTAGCAGCAGAGGAGAGAGGAGACAGGAGAAAAAGAGGAGGTGAGCCAGTAAAGACCAGCTATAAGGCTGTGGGCAAACAGATGGAGGAAATCAGAGGTTAGCTAAAGCTAGATGGTATTTTCCCGATGTCGGGCAGTGGCCCGTAACCACATTGATATATGCAACAAATGAACAATACTCCCTTAATGCTCTCCTTGATAGTATCTGTTTATATGTGTGTTTGTGTGTTAGATGATAGAAACAGCAACCAATCTCATATTTGGTCCCCTCAGATTTGATTAAAAGAAAAAGGAATACTCAACCCAGGATGATGTCTCGAAAGATTAACAAACTAGACTAGACTGTGTTTGTGTGTGTGTGTGTGTGTATATGTGATGTTGAATTAATAACATTGAGGCCAGGAAGACTCTAAGCAGACCCTAAATAGACACAGTAACACACTAACACACTCTATTTTCCAGGAGGCTGACTTGCAATATATATTCATGAACCCAAAATGCAACGTAGATTGTGCTTAATAAGATCATGAAGGGAGGCTGAGTAATGTGCGTCTAAACTGGGAGTGCAGCCCCAGATAAAGAGTGTGTGATTGGCGATGAATGCTTAATAGCATCCTACTTAACAAATATCTGATCAGAGAGGCTGCAGTCTTAAGGTGGCTCAACTCTTCCTCCTGAAAAAGACAGCAGGCTCTTGTGGTTATCTTGTGGCCTTCGTGAACCCGAGAATAAATGCTCTTTGAGGTTTTTGTGTTTGATAATCTATGAGTCAACACATAGTCCTTTAGCCAAAGAAGTCAAACAATTTAAGTTATTGTTACTTCTAGAAACCAAAGAACTGAATGCACAGTTTTAATGTTAAAGGTCAGAAAAGGGTCAAACGTAGGGTTTTGTTGACTGCTGATTCTTGACATTCTTCATCCTCGAGTGGAGCCGTACATGGGGCGTGACCTAACCGCAGATAGACCTAAGACTATCTGCGCCCCGCAAATGGCATTTGATTTCCTGTGAAACGGTTCGGTATAATACAATACACTCTTATTCTCGCTTTGGGGAAATTAGTTTTGGATTCTAAGTAAACAACAATCCACATGTAAAGAGAGAAGAACATTCCAAGGAAAAACACAAACATCAAACAGTATAGTTCAAATTTCTCGTATTGCACAAGATCTGCATAAACACAGCATAATCAGTGAAGAAGATTAGAACACCATGACTCTATTTCTCAACCAAAACAGCCTAAAGAAATGTTATTTAAAAATTAAATTGGGGTTGGCACAAACGCGTTTCTTAAAGACTTTACTTTGCATTTGGGGATTCTGTATGGCCACGTTGGAGGTGAGACTGGCCACTCTCTGTGGTTGTCTGAGAATAGACTGCTGTATGTTGACTGTTTGGAGAGGTTTTCAGTCCTCCCTATAACCTTCATGGCAGTCTGCACCAGATGCACCGGATGAGCAACCCCTCTGTTCAGCTGAACAGAGGGGTTGCCTTGCTAGGCTTTCATCCAGTACCTAAGGATGCTCTCAAACACAGCCTGGTAAAACATAAACATGATCTTATGATCAACACCGTGCACCCAGAGACTGTGTAAAAAAATAATCTTTGTTGTAAATGGTAACACAAATTATGGACATGTTTTTTTAAATTTAACAAGTTATCTTAGTGTACAACAATACACCTGTTGGAGCTGTCATTGTTTGTGTTTTTTAAAATCATGACTAAAACGGGGGATGATCATCAACTGACCTATGATCCAGCATCATCGCCTCAGTTTTCACTAAGCGTCACACCATCGAGCAGAAGTCCATACCTCAGTGAAATACTGTATGATGAGGCATCCATGTCTGTTGATTTCAGAGTGCTTTGAATTTAATAATCAGCTGATAACTAAAGTCAGTTTGACTCATCCTTTGAAGAACATGATTGTATGATCCCAATTTCATGACAACATATCAGAAGTCTGAACATTACACGTCTCCAAAAAACATTTGTAATGATCAATATGTTTGAGCACTCGGGTCTTTGCCATCTAATAAAAAAGACAAAGAAAGGAAAAGTTGTACCTATATGATGTCCTCCTTCAAATAAATCTGGTACTTGACAAAATATTTCAGTCTGGACCAAAGAAAAAGACAAAAATACAGAAAGAGCAGCCAAACACAGACTAACACAGAGCCTAGAGCTGTATCGCATGGCTTGATAACAAGGGTTCCTGATGCATGACAGATTTGGATGAGGTGAAGGTGAAGTGATGTAACACATCCCCCACAGAATCTTGTTTTTTTTTTTTTTTTGCCAGAATACCAGGAAGCTTCAGAGGACATTAATTCCCAATAGACACTTGCCTAAGATATAAAAAAATTAATCTGTGTTTATATAGTTCTCATGCCTGCTTTCTTATTACCTGAGCGTTTTAATTTCTTTTCAGCTGTGATACCTGTTGCTCAGGCTCATTTTCCTTTCTGATTATGTTCTGGCTTTTTGCACATTTTGCCTACACACAACCAAACATGCTGTTTCCAGATTAAATATTATAAAATGAACACGGTAGACCAGCTAGTAAAAACAATCTGATGCGATTTTTCCTCTTGATCTTCAAATAGTGTATTTGCTGTATTTTTGTGTTTCTTGTGTTAATGGACCAGTGTGTGTGTGTGTGTGTGTGTGTGTGTGTGTGTGTGTGTGTGTGTGTGTGCGTGCGTGTGTGTGTGTGTGTGTGTGTGTGTGTGTGTGTGTGTGTGTGTGTGTGTGTGTGTGTGTGTGTGTGTGTGTGTGTGTGTGTGTGTGTGTGTGTGTGTGTGTGTGTGTGTGTGTGTGTGTGTGTGTGTGATGACTCCAGTAAGCTGTTCTCTGAACATGTGAGGTGAGGGGGTTAAAGAAGCCACTGAAGTGCTATGAGTTGTATTGATCTGAAGTTCCCCACTGCATTGATTATAAGCCCTATGAAGCCAGACAGGCAGAGGATTTAAGGCTTGACTTCAGAGTGATATTGATGGCTGGAACACTACTACATTACTTCTGGTCGGCTTTAAAGTCTGTTGTGTAAATGTTCTTATTGTCTTTGCTATTTACTCATCGTAAACTTGCTCCTGGTTAAATTTAACTTGTAAAAAAAGATAAAGGGCCAACCATGGCTTTTTAAGATTTTGTGGTTGAACATTTGAAATGACTTTCATAGAAAAGATGATCTAATGTGTGTTATGTCTATGCTGCATGTTTCTAAGGCTGTGTTTTTTTTTTCTCCTTACAGAGCTCCATGTATTCTCTGGCCCTGAAGTGTCTGATCAGCCTCTCCACTGTCATCCTGTTGGGTCTCATCATAGCCTACCATGCGCGGGAAGTTCAGGTAGAAAAACAATTACACACTAACACAAAGCTAGTCAGATGTATTTGTTTGACATTTTGATAGCTTTGGTAGCTTAGCTTTGCTGGGAGTTAGAGAAGAGGATAAATACTACTCTCTTGTCAGTTAAGTAGAGAAGAGAGGTGATTAGCTTCAATTTGCAGAAATACTGGAAACCTTTATCCTGGCTCTGTCCATACGTAACAAAATAGTCAACCTTGGATACAGTCTGCTCATGTCTAAAGACAAAATAGCCTTTGAGCTTGGCAGCTGTTAGCTATAAGGGACTTCTGATCAAGACTTCCTTTTCATGGGCTGGTGATTGTTAACAGGGGAACTATATATATTTAGAGATGGACATGAAGATACCCCCGCAACAGGTGTTGTAGACATACTGGCTGGTGACATCATTTGGAGCCAGAGTTGCACAGTAGCATCTACCAAGGGTTTTGGCATCCATTTCAAAACTGATAAAATAGCAAAGACCACTCGGGTCGGTACAGTCAACAAGCAGAACAGATTCATGTGTCCGTTTGGAGTGGAAACTCACCCATTATGGAAGTTCAATAACTCTTGTGTTAGCATTCCTTATGTTCCGTCTTGCTGTTCCTCCTCTATACTCTGTTAGTCGCAGCGCTGGAGGAGCCAAATTTGTCATCAGAGCTGTCAATCATGGCATCTTACCCCTTTTTTATAGCATCAAATAAATAATAAGACCTAAACTTATCTGAAAAAATGAGCACTCAGGCACAAATTTCTATGATAAGAACTGATTTTAAAGACTGTAACCATGTTTGAGAAAAAGCTATTGGACATATTTTTTGATTTTATAGTTTGACCCGGTATTGAAGAGGCGTAGCGTTTGACCTATATTCCAGCCAGGGGAGCTCCAAATCTTTGCCTTCATCTTTGGGGAACTGTCATGTCGTCAATCTTTTTAAAAATCTACTAGTTTAAGAATCAGCTTTAGAGCTGAGAAATAATTCTGATTGTAGAGACATTTTTGAGAGCCTGTTGGCTACACTTGCAAGCAGAGTTTAAGTAGAGATTAATAAAAGCTAAACTGTCACCAGATGACTGCCAATGGGATTCGGGATTGCATTCCACCCAACTTTTATCCTTGGTAAATGTAAATCTCCTCTGCTAAATGTAGCTTGACAATTAGTGGGAATAATAAGGCAGAGTAGAGAAGAAGAAACCATATTATATATTCCTTCAATGAATTCATTTTTTTCCCCATGTAGGCGTATTCTCTTGGTATAAGCGGAAGCACTGCTCTGCCCACAGTGTCCACATTATGTTGTTTTCCCTCAGGCCAGAGCGAGGGACCCAGGTGTGTGTCCCCTCCAACCAATTAATGACATTAATGACAGTCGTAGTGGGAATCGACAAACCAGTCTGCATGGCTTTGCATCGAGTGGATACTCACCAAATGTTAAATACACACTCAGCCAATAGATGTAACAGAGAACACAAGTAAACACTAACGCTGACATGCGAGGCTTATGCACACACACACACACACACACACACACACACACACACACACACACACACACATAACCTCTTGTCGGGCTGAAACAATCAATCAGATTGATTGACTGCTTTCATGCTTCATGATATCTGTTTTGCTGTTTGTCATTTTGCTAATATAATGGTACCAGGGTCATTAAGCCGGGGTTTTCATTTGAAGCCATTTACAATCGATGCACATTGACTATTTATGGGAGCCTTGCAGGAATCGGACCCAATGAGTGCCCCCACACCAGCTATTACTCCCACCAGATAAACCACGGAGCAACATTCATCCATCTAACCTCATATTAGTTTAATGTTGGGACTTTTTTTCATTACATCGCAGCTTGGATGTGGCTGGACATTTCTATTTAAGTTCCACTGGGTCCCTCATTGAGATTGTCATGCTTTGTGCACTAAGGTCCATGCTTTCCGTCTGTGGATCGATAACGAGATGGCTGTTGCTTATTCGCTGTCATACACAGGGACTGATAGACTGGTAATCAGTCTGCAACAGGCAGCCGCTGTGTTTCAAGGTTCTCTGCCAAAAAAGGAACCAATTCAGTGAATGCACATGTGGTGCACGTGCAGGAATGAGTTGGCGAACATGGCGAAGAATTCATTGATAAAAGAACCCTCGCTTCTGCTCACAAGTTTGATGTCACACTAACATTCGGAGTCAGTCATCCTCCCACGCGCACTTCGGCTGCCGCATGTGACAGGCATGCTAATGCTGACAGAGAAGAAGAGAAGAGGTGGAGAGGAGAGAGAGAGAGAGCGAGACAGAGAGAGAGAGAGAGAGAGAAAGAGAAAGAGAGAGATCAAATGGTCTTCTGCTAATCTCTTTGAGAAAAATTCCTTTTGATTAAATCAAGTTAGGGTGTGTGCTATGAAGGTATCAGTGGGAATCACAGCAGGGTGGGGGGGGAGGTGAGGGTGGTGTAAAACCCCCAAATCACTTTTGGTATTAACTTGGGAGTGGATGATGGTAATTTATTTTCAACAGACAGCTTTGAAGGATAATCCTGGTGTATTACAACCTGAGTATTATTTTTCCAAGTTAGTATAACACTGTTTAGAGTTACAATGCTGAAATATGGGAGCACAGTGACATTTCACTCAAATTATTAAGAATTGATAAGTTCCTTCAACATGCTTTGAATAGCTCTAAGCAAACAACATTGACACAGTATGTATAACCTGTTATTTAGTTTACATGGAAAACCTGTAAGTTAACACATCCAGCAGAAATATTACAAAGCAATGTCAGCTTTTATTTGGAGTTTTGTTTCTAGCCTGTGGATCAATATTCTTTCTTTTTTAGCTCGTTTTGTCTTTCTCAGCCCCTACAAGCTCCACTATATGCAATGGCTAGTCCTTAGCTTTGTTTGTCTGCTGTTCTGTTCGATAAACAAAAACAGTGCTGATGAAGTACCAAACAACTCTATCGGTTTATCACTTAAAGCAACATAATGGAGGAATTCTGTTTTGAATTCAGAAGACGGGCTTTTCCTCTATCGAGAAATGCTTCCTCTGAAGTCTTCAATAAAGGTTTAATTTTAGAGTTTCAAAACATGCTTCCCTTTACCTTACAGTGCAAATGTAGTGGTGTTTTTAAGTGATTCTGTACTGGGAGCATTATATAATATGGGATACAGATAGCCTCCGCTATCATTCCATACAATGGTAGCATTTTTGACATGACAGCACATCTCGACAGGACACTGGCAAAGACGTGAGAAGCCGAAGAACCACATCAACTGACAAGGTGCAATATTTTCTCTAGTCCGGCTTTTGGCTCAGTCACTCTCTTTTTCTCTTTTAAGCTTCAAGATTCAAGCTTCAAGAATTCCTTATTGTCATTCAGACTCTATACCAGACGGAAAAAAATGAAACAATAATATAACATATATATATTATCATTTATGTAGGCCTATGTAAAAATTAACAATAGAATAAAATAAATGATTCTGTGAACATCTCAAATCAGTGAAATTTTACGGTCCCGGTAGCATACTGTAGAAGTAAGTGCGCATGCCACATGTTCGGAGGCTATAGTCCTCCAAGCGACTCTATCCACTTTTTCTTTGCAATTAAGGCACAGAAAGTCCCTAAAATAAATCTTTACAAAATATATATTATTATATATTTATATAAAACAATGTGTGTACAAGCAGAGAGAACAGTGGGTGTAATGTGTATTAATCAATCAATCAATCAAGCACCAATTCATTACAAATGTTATCTCAACACATTTACATAAGAGCAGGTAAAAAACCCTATTGTTATATTATTTACAAAGACCTAACGCTAATCCATCATGAGCACTAAGCAACATTAAGCAAAGGTACAGTGGCAAGGAAAAACTTCCTTTACGAGGCAGAAACCTCAAGCAGACCCAGACTCATGTTGAACATCCATCTGCCAAAACTGTGTTGGGCTTGAAAAAGGGGATGCACATTTTTATACCAATAAATCCATTTGCTAGTGTAGCATATTGAGATGCCAAGAGCAAAACAAGAAGTGGGGAAGACAGTGCTGTGTGACTTTTCCAGCACTATGTAAACAGCAAGCTTGCCTCCATCAAAATTAAATATTTCACCAGGTTTTAACTAATTAATTTATGAATATATTTTATCATTGCACAAACAAAAGCCCCCAAAATACAGCAATTTGTGGTTGTAGGTGGCACACATGTAGTTCTGTATCTTTGTAAACATCAGCCGCAGAGCAGTGACAGTGTGCAGCAGTGCATGCAGAACATGGGAAATAGCTTTCATAAACAGTATGTAGGCTACACCTGAAAGCATACATGTTTCATTACATGCATGTTAAGTTTATTAGTCAACCTGCCTGCTGGCTCCCAGTCTGTTTGCTGATGAGCTATACACGAAGTGGCAGTTAGTCTCTGTTTTTTTTTTTTTTTTTTTACTGTTTCATGGCTTGAATGCACACACAGAAAGAAATATTACTTTGCAGCATCAAAGGCATTGTTCGATACAGATCTAATTCTCCGATTGTAACACACACTGCCTTGCATGGATATTACGTGCACATAGACACACAACTCACAAAATCATTGCATATATGCATTTGCACAGAATTTTGAGGAGGCAGAGTCGTGCACGGATCAGAATGATGTTATCTGATTTAACAGGCATAAATCCACCTTTCTCTTTCTCTGATATCCATTTCTCTCTCCTTCCTCATGTCTTTTATCTCAAAGTACGTTTGTTAACACCATCAGCGTGCGTCTCTTTTTCTTTCTTTTTTCTTCTTCTTCTCTCGCCCCGCTTATCAGATTAGAGCTGTCTCCCTCCTCTCCTCTGGGCTTCAATTCAATTTTGTTGTTTAGTTTCACATCCTTTCTTCTTCACTCTTCTCTCCCTGCCTTTAGCTCAGCATTTAACTTCTCACCTCTTTATCCTTCTCCTGTTGTACTTTAACATTCGCCTGCATTTCTCAACCTCTGAAAAACCCTCACGCCC